GGGGGGGGGGGGGGGGGGGGGGGGGGGGGGGGGGGGGGGGGGGGGCTGCACCGGTGTGTGTGCAGATGTTTGTGTTTGTTCCGCAGCTGTGTGCTTTGTGAGCGCGGGGGTGTTTGCACGGTGTGCACAAGTGTGTGTGCGTAAGCGTGTGCACAAGTGTGTGTCTGAGTGCTCAGGGATGTGAGTGTAAGTGTGTGTGAGTGTGCATAGCAGTGCTTTTTGTGTGTGTGCGCAACTGTGTGCACAAGTGCTCGCTGATGTGTGCACCAATGTGTCCTTATGTGCTCGTGTGTGTGCACAAGTGTGTGCACGTGCCCATGTATGCGTGCTTGTGCACACACACTCATGCTTGCGTACAAGTGCTCACAGATGTGTGTAAGTGCTTATGGATGTGTGCACAAGTGTGTGTGCACAAGTGCACGTGTAAGTGTGTGTGTGTTGTGCACACGTGTGTACAGAAGTGCTCACAGATCTGTGCACAAGTCCATGGATGTGCTCCTGTTTGTGAGCACAAGTGTGTGCACAGAGTGCATTCAAGTGCTCGTAGGTGTGTGTATACAAGTGGGCATGCATGTGAGCACAGGGTGTGCACAAGTGAGTGTGCAAGTGCTCACAGGTGTGTGCAGAAGGGCATATGGAAGTGCTCAGGTGCGTGAGCCTGAGTGCACAAGCGTGTATGTAAAATTGCTCATGTGTGTGAGCAGAGGTGTGTGCACAAGTTCTCTCAGATGAACACCTCTATGTGCACTTTTACACACATATATGTGAGCATGGGTGTGCACAAATGCTTAAGATTGTGTGCACGTAGGTGGTGATGTGTGCAAGCATGGGTCCCTGCACACGTGCTCACGTGTGTTGTGCTCACAGATATTTCCATGTGATCACAAAGCGGCCACGTACGTGCACAAGCGAGCGTGCACAACTGAGTGTGCACAAGTGTGCACAGAAGTGTCCCCGTTTGTGTGTTTGCACACTGGTGCGCGTGCTGGCTGGCTCCGTGCACACTCAGCAGCAGATACGGTTGCTGTGAGTGCACGCACAGCACGCTTTGCACACTCAGTGAGCCCTCGTGCAAACACACACGTGTGCACACACACACTCTGCTCTCCCTGCAGAACGGATTTGCTGTTATCCGCCCCCCCGGGCACCACGCAGAGGAGTCGGCAGCCATGTGAGTGCAAT